GAGGAGGAGGAGGAGGAGGAGGAGGAGGAGGAGGAGGAGAACTAAGACTATGGGGTCCTTGGTGCTCTCTGAACTTGCTTGTTTTCTTGCAGATGTTTCATGACCCAAACTAGGTAACATCATCAGTGCTAATAAGGAGTGCTCTTACTAGCCCTGATGATGCTATCTAGTTAAGGTCAAGAAACGTCTGCAAGAAAACAAACAAACTCAGAGAGCACCAAGGACACCTCAAAACCAAAATAAAACCACAAAACCTTTGGGAGATTGGGTTACAGGCGTCCATGCGGTTCTCATTTCATTTAAGCCTCACCATCTCCACCCTGGAGATTCCATCGTTAATCCAGACAGAGCAAGTATCCCATCTGCAGGGACTTCCTCCTTCAAGTCTACCATATCTTTTTCTTTTCTCCACTAATCCAGGGGCAAGATGACTTTGACGCAGCTTTCCACTCCATGTTGACTGCCAGCGCTGTCTTCAGGTCTGAGGTAAGCCATGGGAGCTTCTCTTTAAGGAAGACTTTCTGAAATGCTTTTTATGGGGGGAAAAGGATGGGCTGCTGTGCGGAATCCATTAATGTCCTTTCCCTTTCCTGGCAGAGCTACGAACAGATGGACCTTCCAGTGATGGATCAAGGAGGGGAGATCTTTAAGACCTTGCACTACCTCAGTGTCCTCATTCAGAGCATCAAGAGACCCTTGGGGACAAAAGAAAACCCTACCCGTGTTTGTAAAGACCTCATGAACTGTGAACAAAAGATGCAGGATGGTAAGCCTTCTGCTGCAGGATGGACAGCAGACAAATCCATGTTCTCCAAGGTCTACATCAGTCATGATGTCTTAAAGAGGAGGAGGAGGAGGATGGATTTCATGGGGGTATCTAGATTTGTATCAGTTTGGGGCAAAGCTGAATGAAGCCATAAGGTCTAGATTTCCATGAACTTTCTGCCCAAATATAACAACTCTGGGGAACATCCAGAAAAACCTCAACGTATCTCCTGATGAATTGAAACCCCGAAGAACAAAACAGTGGAGAAAAGGACAACAAAAGAGTTGTGTAAGATGGCCATTTGTCCCTTCTTTGTGAGGTAAATGGAAACGAAAACATTGACTATGCTCCTGAAAGATAGGAGCAGCAGAACCACAAGATTTCCATGATCAGGCTTTTCTGCGGTGTCCTGGTTTTGCCATCTTCTTCTTCATGCGGGATGAGCCATCTTCTCTAAATGATCTGACAGGACAGGCAGAATCATTCTGGAGTTGAAGTTGTAGATTATTATACCTCCTCTGTATAAAATAACAGAGTTGGAGGGGACCTTGGAGGTCTTCTACTCCAAGTCCCTGCTCAAGCAGGAGATCCTAGACCAGGGGTCTTCAAACTTGGTCCTTTTATGACTTGTGGACTTCAACACCCAGAATTCCTCAGCCAGGCATGGACCATATAAGCCAGGAGGTCTTCAAACTTGGTCCTTTTATGACTTGTGGACTTCAACACCCAGAATTCCTCAGCCAGGCATGGACCATATAAGCCAGGGGTCTTCAAACTTGGTCCTTTTATGACTTATGGACTTCAACTTCCAGAATTCCTCAGCCAGGCACACTGGCTGAGGAATTCTGGGAGTTGAAGTCCACAAGTCATCAATGGGACAAGTTTGAAGACCCCTGCCCTAGACCATGCCAGACAAGTAGCAGTCCAGTCTCTTCTTAAAAGCCTCCAGTGATGGAGCACCCACAATGATGATGATCTATTACAAAAGATTAAAGGAGACTCCTATCTACTACTCAGAGCTGGAACAAAAGAGGTCTAATCTTGAAGGTCTGAACATTGGTAGCTCCCACTGTTCTTCTCCAGAACTTTGATAAAATCAGTGGCCTTCTCAAAAGATGCCAGTATAACTGGATCTGACCTCACCTGTTGCTTCTCTCTCGTCTTCTTCCTTCAGGCGTCTACTGGATTGACCCAAATCTTGGCTGTTCTTCAGACAGCATTCAGGTCACCTGCAACTTCGCCCAAGGAGGTCAAACCTGCCTCAATCCTATCACAGCATCTAAGGTACATTAAAGGCACACGCTGTTTCTAGGAAATCCACTGGAATGGGACATTTCATGTGTAGCCCACTGAACACTCTCAAAAGAAGGACATTTTTATTTTTGGAGGATGCCTGTGGTTCTATGTAGGGCACAGAGATATTCTTGGAAAGGCAGATAAAGTATCCAGAGCTTTGCTGCACAGTTTCCCTCCCCCCCCACCAATTCCATAAAAAGCTTTGCAAAAAATTAAAAACAGGCGGATGGGGAGCCTGGCACGTGCTTCCGTGCCCGTGTTGCTGACACGTTGCTTATCCTCATCGTAAGTACCACGTTCCAACTGTTTAAGCTTTTCAAAACAAGAAGCTCTGTCTTAAGCTGAGCCTGGAAAGGAATAACTAGCCAGTTTTTTTAAAAAAAAGACCAAATTAGTATTTTGGCTCAATTGAAAACGAGGCATTCTTTTCAGGAGTAACTCAGGCGATTGCAATATATAGCCTGGAGCAAAACAATTTGTGAATAAGCTCAGAAATATCTTCTTCTTCTTTTTTCCCCTGTCTAAACAGAATTGGGATTGAGAATTTGAGATTCTCCTGGGCCTCGTTATTGGCCAGAATATCAGGCATGTCATCTCTTGTTCCAAGAAGTAGTAATGCCTCCCTTTTGTGAATGGGTCTTGTAGTTAAAGCTGTCGGACTCATTCATAAAAATAGAGAATAGAATAGAATAGAATAGAATAGAATAGAATAGAATAGAATAGAATAGAATAGAATAGAATAGAATCCAAAATGAATAGAATAGAATAGAATAGAATAGTATCCAAAATGAATAGAATAGAATAGAATAGAATAGAATCCAAAATGAATAGAATAGAATAGAATAGAATAGGAATCCAAAATGAATAGAACAGAACAGAATAGAACAGAACAGAACAGAGTAGAGTAGAAGAGTAGAGTAGTAGAGTAGAGTAGAATAGAGTAGAATAAGAATAGAATAGAATAGAATAGAATCCAAAATGAATAGAATAGAATAGAATAGGAATCCAAAATGAATAGAACAGAACAGAACAGAGTAGAGTAGTAGAGTAGGAGTAGAGTAGAGTAGAGTAGAATAGAGTAGAATAGAGTAGACTAAGAATAGAACAGAACAGAACAGAATAGAATAGAGCTGGAAGGGACCTTGGAGGTCTTCTAGTCCAGCCCCCCACTTAAGCAGGAGAACCTATACCATCTCAGACAAGTGGCTGTCTAGTCTCTTCTTAAAAATCTCCAGTGATGGAGCTCCCATGATTTCTGGAGGCAAGCTGTTCCACTGGTTAATTGTCCTCACTGTCAGGAAGTTTCTCCTTAATTCCAGGTTGCTTCTCTCTTTGATTAATTTCCACCCATTGTTTCTTGTCCTGCCCTCTGGTGCTTTGGAGAGTAATTTGGCCCCCTCCAGGAAGCTACTGTGTCCATGGAAAGGATGTTTCTTAGTGCAAATCTATGCTTAACTGACCAGTGGATAGCCAAGTATATTAGATCTTTTTCCCCCCTTTATAGTTTTGTATATCTCCTGTACATGGCTGTTTAGGTGTAGTTGAAGGTCTCTGGAATGTTTATAAGTAGTTGTATGCACAAAGTTCTCAAGATGTTCCTCTTGGCCAGAACGTTGAGTTCCGTCTTTATCCTTAACTTGAATTTCCCCCTTCTCCAGCTGGACTTCGATATCGGAAGAGTACAAATGAACTTCCTTCACCTCTTGAGCTCTGAAGTCGTTCAGAACGTCACTATCCATTGCTTGAACATGCCGGTTTGGCCGGAAGGACCATCAGAAGGAGCCTCCCTACGCTTCAAGGCCTGGAACGGGCAGCTCTTCGAACAGGGAGGGCAGCTCACACCGGACGTGGTGGTAAACAATTGTCAGGTATGGAAATTCTCCAGGGAAAAAAATAGAAGGGTTGGAAGGGTTGGGTGCTACCACCACCTGGAGAAGACCATCAGAATGACGGTGATTTCATAATCAAGATCTAGAAGTATCTACCCTTGACAGGTCTCCTTCCCCAAACTACATCCGTTGACATGTTGAAGGTGTCTTCATCTCTGAGTTGTTTTATTATCCAGAGCAGAGGTAGACAGCTCCTGCTTGACCCAAGTCAGCATGGCTTCTTGCCCCCAAAATTGTGAGAGCTGCGAGGTGAAAACATCTACAAGGCTTCAGGTTGTCTATCTGTGCTACCCAGCGGTGGGAGGAGAGACTTTTTGATAAAAGCAAAAGCGCCCCCTGCTGGCAGTTTGGATGAATTGAACGCTTGCTCAGCTCTTAAAATGAAACGGGATATGATGCAAGAGACTGCTCTTTGCATCTGTTGTTGTGGCTGTTGCTGCTTTCGTTGTTGTACATTAAGCATCCTGGGGACGTGGAGCATGAGAACAGCAGCTCTGGAGAAACACATATTTAGCATTTTTTCTCCTTCTGTTTTTATGCCCATCCTATCCACCACAGTCATTAACAGGACACTGTGTGTCTTATTAGATACAATCTTCTTTGCCCTGGTGCAGGGATATCACTACATAATGTAGAGATAGCAACTGCTATTGCTGAATGGGTCTCAATATATAAGTGTGTGTGTGTGTGTGTGTGTGCTATTTTCTGGGAAGAATCGTAGAATAACAGAGTGGGGACTTTGGAGGTCTTCTAGTCCAACCCCCTGTTCAAGCAGGAAAACTTATACCATTGGCTATCTAGTCTCTTCTTCAAACCTTCCAGTGATGGAGCACCCACAACTTCTGGAGGCAAGTCGTTCCACTGGTTAACTGTCCTCACTGCTAGGAAGTTTCTCCTTCGTTCTCCTCTCTTTGATGAGTTTCCATCAGTGGCTTCTTGCTCTGCCTTCTGGTGCTTTGGAAAATAGTTTCAATCGGGAGATTTCAATCGCAAGACCTTCCATCCTGGATTAAAAAAAAAGGGCAGCTTCACAAAAGAGATCTTCACAAAAGAGTCCAATGGCTAAAGAGTTTGATCCTTGCACCCTCTTTCTTCAAAGCCTTCTGGATGGTGGCCTCCTTTCGGTATCATTAACCTGGCAGGATAGCTACAAGGAGAAAAAGGAGTAGAGAGATGGAGAGAGGAGAGGAGAGGAGAGAGAAGAGTGAGTGAAATATCTGTGGGTTTTGTGGACCGTGAAGTCCACTTTAAGGCCGTTTAGGCTGCCAAGAAATGTAGTGGAACTCGGAGAAGACCTTGGATTATTGTAGCCACCATCTTAGCCTTCACATGGATGTCCACGATGGAACTTCAGATGGATGGATGGATGGACAGATTATGTGCCATTGTTTTTGACTCCTAACAGCCAGAGAAACAGAGGGTTTTTAACACGATTTTTATTCACTTATAACACAAAATACGAAGATACAAAAGCAAATAAGAGGTCACAAAGGTTAGGGGAAGGGAAAAAAGAGAAGTGTGGAAAGGGGGGAGAAAGAAAAAAAAGGCATTGAGTTCCGACTGTTGCAGTAAAATAAGGCATTAACATCAAACCTCAACTTTTTTCATTTCCAGAGTAGTATGTACTAGCCATTTCTACATCAACAAAGCAATCTAATCAGTAAAACCCGAAATCGTAGTGTCATTTTTTTCCCACCTCAAGCACAAAGTCCAGAAGAGGTTTCCAAGTAGAAACAAAGGCACTTATATTCTTCTTTTTTTTATCAAAACGGTCAATTTAGCCATCTCTGTCAATTCCATCAACTTTTGAAGCCATTCCTCTATGGTGGGAATCGAAGNGAATCGAAGCATCCTTTACATTTTTGCACGCAGAGCAATCTTGGTGCCGTATATAAAATCAGAGTTCCCGTTTTTTGTTTCCATGTCTTTTTTTTTCCATTAGACCCAGAAGGAAAGTTTGAAAAGAGAGTTTTTTTCCAAGGACAATCTGTCCCTAACCTGGTCTTTCAGATCTTCCATTGCTTGCCTCCATGACCACTATTATTGAGTTCCTTCACCTTTCCTGCTCCTCACCCTCTTCTTCCCTTTCCTTCTACAGTTCCCATCATCAGATCCTTCTCCAGGGAATTGGGCCTTGGCATAATGTGTCCAAAATCAGATAAATGAGCCTTCCCCATCATCAGATCCTTCTCCAGGGAATTGGGTCTTGGCATAATGTGTCCAAAGTCGGATAATTTGAGCCTGATCATTGGTGGCTTGAGGGAAGAGTTGGCTTGTCTTGTTTGATGATCCATTTGAGGCAGATGGGAAAGTTCGATGGGGAGGGGGGAAGGACGAGGGAAGGGTTTTGCGATGAACTTCCCATTTTTTCCTCCTTTGGGGCGGTTGGGTCTTCCTACCTCCATCCCCATGTGAGTCAACGGTGTAACCATCCAAGTTTCCTCTTCAATCAGATTCAAGATGGTCAGTGGCATCACACCCTCTTTACCTTCCGGACGTATGACATCCAGCGGCTTCCGATCGTGGGTGTGTATAACCTTCCGCCAAGCAGACCAGGGAAGGAATATTTCCTTGAAGTTGGGCCAGTGTGTTTCCTCTAGAAATCAACTCTTTGTGGTGCTCCACACACACACTTCGGCTTCTCAGAAGAGAGGCTGCGTCTTCGGCCAGGAGACTCGGCCGCCTGGACCTCTGTCAGCCCCCTGAGACCTGTGGGGGCTTCAGCACTGGGACCACGTCAAACGAGAAGCCTTTGCGGATCCGTTCAGCCTCTCCATCTTGGCCCTGGGAGAAATGGTTCAGAAGAATCCCGGGGTTGGGGTTGGGGGACCACGGTTGGGCCTGAAGCAACTTCAGAGATGGCCAGTTGGAAGTTGACCTTCTCCACCTACAGATGGACTCGTCCCTTCCTCTTCTTCAGCCGAAGGTGGGAGGGGAAAAAAAAAAAACCAGTTGCTTGCAGAAAACCCAAATTTTTCGTGCAGTTTTTGGGTGAGCCAAGCACAGCATTCCGGAATCCAGGTCGTTTATCAAAGCAGAGGTTTTGCTGGACAAGACAAGGAAGGGACTTGGAAAAACAAAACGTTGCCATCATATTATTATAAGATTAATTTTTATCTGCTCACTGTTCTGGAACAGGAAGGATTTTGATGTGCAATATTAAACAGAGAGAGGAGAAAGAAGAGAGAGAGAAAAAATTATAGATATATATATATATATTATTTAAGGCAAGGAAAAGCAAATCTAAATAAAAGCCAGCAAGATTCTTGTTCCTTTTGGAAATGAAAACATCCCTTCGATATGGGGTGGTGGTGGTGAGAGAGATATCTCTCCCCCCCCAAAAAAAAGTGGAAAGGGGTGAAGAAACTTTGGTGCTAAATTGAAGAAAAGAAAGAGAAAACGAGAGAAAGAAAACAAGAGAGAGAAAGAGAGAGAGAGAGAGAGAGAGGGCCAGACCTTTTCAATTTGATTCTACCTCTCACTGTGAAAATAATTGGTGCTCTTTTATTTTTTAAAGAAGTTGTAATTATATATATATATATATATGAGTAAAAACTATTTAAAAAATCCTCAGAGGTGCTAGAGTGTCTCTTAACAGCCCTCACCTCTGTTTGGGCAACGTCCCTTTTGCAGAGAAAAGAACAAACAAACACAGGGCACGTACTGGTTAATTGGTACAGCAGCATCAACGCCGATTTAATTTAAAAGCGCATTAAATATTTCTCCAGATTTTTCTTTGGAATCCACAGTTTCGTTAGCAACTTATACAGGGGGCGGGGGGGCGGGGGGGAGGCAGGGTGTACAATTGAAGAGTAGTTTTTAGCTAATATATATACATATATAAATATATATATATATATATACCCATACGTGTGTGCCAAGTGCATTTGGTCTTAAGAACAGAGCCTAGAAAATTAAAAAAAAAATGTGTGCATTTTTGGGGAATGTATTTGCGAGCCTGACTTCTTCGCCAGAAGTCCCAGGCCGCGACAAGACCTGATGGAAGAAAGTTATTTGGCGTAGCTTTTCTATCAATAGGAGAACCCCCCTTTCAGCATGGGCTTTAGTTTAGGATAAAGAAGGAAAAAAAAAAAAACCAGACCGAGGTATATTGGCGTCGTTGCCACTTTCATTTTGTCTTAGGTTTTGTTGTCGTCGTTGTCGTTCTTGTGGCTGTTTCTCGTTGTGTTCTGTAGAAAGCTAGACCTTGCATCTGTAAATTTGGAGCTGAAAAGGAAAAAGTTAAAAAAAACAAGGAAGGTTTAATAGTATGGTAACCGTTTCTTTCTATATAAAGAATGTCATGCTGATGGAAACCAGACCGTCAATTTTTCGTGTGTGTTGTCCGGTCCTTGTTGACTCTCCCTGTTTTCTCCCCCCCCTAGGAAAAGAAAAATAAACAAGTTGTGTGTGTTTCTGGAAGGGGGGGTGGGCAAATAAAATAAAAGCCGTCTCCAGTTCCTGTCTCACTGAACAAAAATGTAAACTGAGCAGTGTCCTTCCTCGCTTCCAAGGCTCCCTCTTTTTTAAAAAAAAAATGATTTTCTGTGTCAAATCCAAATCTTACAGTTGAGCGAATCCAAAATAAATCTCCTTTCTCCAACCTGGTGCACACCGTATAGGACAGCGGTGGCGAACCTATGGCACGCGTGCCAGGGGTGGCACTCAGAGCCCTCTCTGTGGGCACGCGTGCCGTCGCCCCAGCCCTGCATCCCCCCATGGCCGCCTCCTCACCAGCAGCCCCCCCAGAGAAGAATTGCCCCTGGGCGCCGCCCGCGCAGAGCAGCACTGCCAAGGACATGGCAGCCGGGTAGCGGGGACAAGACTCCGCCCTCGTGCTCCGTCATACGCAGATGATGCTGCAGGGCGTGGGCGGAGGGTGTGGCCGCCGTGGCGCTGCTGGGCCGCCTGGGCGATCTGCTGCGGTGGGCTGTGGAAGCGGTGGGTGGCCCTGCGGGCAGGCGGGGCACGGGATGGGCAGGGCGGGGTGGTTTTTGGGCACTCAGTCTCTAAAAGGTTCGCCATCACTGGAATAGGATTTCGGCGTAGGATTCCAGCTTCGGGCATGCCCCTGTAGAGCTTTTATTTATTTATTTATGCATTTTTTTCCCCCGCCACCCGTCAGGTATCCCAACGACCCCGGGTTGGCTCGCGATGCAAAAACATTGAAAAAAACCGTTAAAACCGTCCATTGTAAAAAAAAAAAAAAAAAAAAACCAGCAAAATAAAAAAAAAAACACACAGTAAAATCATCAAATTCCCCCCCCCCCCAAAAAAAAAGTCAGTTCGGGAAAAACGGGGCTCCCTGCTAAATCCAGATAATCGGAAAGGGCCCATTTCAAGATTGCCAGGTTGGATGGAAAGAGTATGCTGCAGAATTGGTTCCGCAGATATCAATCAACTGCTCTGCGGCGGGCGCCCACTCGGGGAGATGGGCGGTTGCAAATTCCCAGGCTTTGTGCATTGCTCTGTGGTGCATTGTGGGGAGGGAGGGGTGTGACCTTCCCCCATTTGAATAGAATAGAGCTGGAAGGGACCTTGGAGGTCTTCTAGTCCAGCCCCCCGCTCAAGCAGGAGAACCTATACCATCTCAGACAAGTGACTGTCAAACCTCTTCTTAAAAATCTCCAGTGATGGAGCGCCCAGAATTTCTGGTGGCAAGCTGTTCCACTGGTTCATTGTCCTCACTGTCAGGAAGTTTCTCCTTAATTCCAGGTTGCTTCTCTCCTTGATTAGTTTCCATCCATTGCTTCTTGTCCTTCCCTCTGGTGCTTTGGAGAATAATTTGACCCCCTTTTCTTTGTGGCAGCCCCTCAAATACTGGAATGCTGCTATCATGTCGCCCCTGTTTCTTCTATTCTTTAGACTAGTCCCACAGCTATTCTTTGTTTTTTTCCCCTGTAACAATAAACCTATCGGTGTTGTTGTAACTTGGAACGGTCCCTAAATGGATGCTTATAAATCCAGGATGATCTTTAATAAGAAGGCAGGATGAGAAAGATCCTTGGGCTGTAAAGATTCGGAACAAGAGAGAAAGAATAAGAAAAATTCAGCACCTTGGTGGCCTTTGAGAAGGCCACCCCTTTCTTTGACCCCCCCCCCCCTTAAACCAGAATCAATCTCTCTTCACTGGCGGAGATGGAAATGGAAGCCGGGCCAAGGACCAGGCTGAATGGGACCCAGAGGATTGCTGTTGCCAAACAGTGAATCAGTGGCTTTATAGGAATCCTGAAAAAAAATCAAGAAGGGATCTGACAAATGTGTATTTATAGAAAGAGAGGAGTTTCTGATTGAGCGGAACGGAAGCATGCCAAGGAAGACAAGAAGCGAACCAGCCAAAATTGCTTGCAAGGAAGAGGTTTATTTCTTGCAGGTTTTTTCCCCCCTTTCCAGGATCCTCCGGTGTTTTTCCTCCCCACTTCTTTATTTTTTTTTTAATGTGAGGCCGGTAGCTCTCACCAGGGGGCAATAAAAACCTGACTTTAAAAACCCAGCCATCTATTACGCATTTATGTTTGTAGTTCCTCCAAGACTCTCCCATTATTTTATTTTTTTTCCCTCTATGGGGAAAAAGCTGAAATCTGCTGAATCGGGAGCAAGGCCCCTTTAATCCATCTCGGTGGGCTTTAAACCTGTGAATAAACGTAATTTTTAGCATCCTTTCCGAGGTACCGGATCCCATAACCTAACTTCTGGCATCTGACGTCAGCTCCGAGAATCGATCACGTTAAGAGTTTTTGGAAACCGACTTGATTTGGGTTTATCTGTCGTACTCTCCTTGCTTTTAGAGCAGGCTTTTTATTCAATATTTATTGTGATTTTTATTATTGCCTGTTCACCGCCCTGAGTCCCGTCAGGGAGATAGGGCGGTATGTAAATTTAAATAATAAATAATAAATAAATAAACTTCTGCAAAAGCACCACAGGCAAATTTCCACCCCCACCTCCCTAAAAAACCTGCCCCTATTTCTTTAAAACAGCTGTTTTTCCCTCTGTTCTCATGATAACTCAGAAGAAAAGTAGGTTTGTGTGAGGATGGGAAACGCCACATAAAAACTGGCGATTCTATGGAGTTCTGCTCTGGCTACCAGCTGGGGAGAGAAAGGGAAGGAAGACGAGGAGGAGGAGGAGGAGAAGAAGGAAAAGGAGGAGCAGAAAAAAGGAGGATAGGAAGTGGGGAAAGAAGAAGTGGAAGGAGAAGAAGCAGAGAGAGGGAGGAGAAGGAGAAGAAAAAAGCGGAGAAGGGGAAGGAGGAGAAAAAGAAGAGAGGGAGAAACGGGATAGGGTCTTCTGAAAGGGGATGGGGTCTCCTGCTTGAGCGGGGGGGTGGACTAGAAGACCTCCAAGGTTCCTTCTATTCTGATTGAGAAGAAGGAGAGGGGGAAGGGGAGGAAAAAGAAGAAGAGGTAGAGGAGGAAGCAAGAGTTGGAGAAGGAGGAGAAAAAAGAGTAGCGGAGGAGAAAGAAGAGATAAGAGGGAGAAGAAAGAGTGAAGAGGAGAAAAAAGACAGAGAAGAAAGGAAAGGAGAAGAAAGGAAGAGGGAGAAGGAGGAGATGGATGAGAAAGAGAGGAGGAAGAGGAAGAGGAGAAATAGGAGGAGAAGAGATGGGGAGAAATAG